GAGGCCATCCTGGATACACAACAAGATTAGCCTAAAAAATTATATAGAAAAATAAATTTTAAAAGGGGCTTAGGATGTATCTCAGTGCTTCCTAGGTTAAATCCCTAGTACCAGAAAGAAGAGGAGGAGGAGCAAGAGGAAGAAGAAATAATAAAGCAAGTGAATCATGTGGCCCAGTCCAGGGCATTCAGGGATTGGTGACTTTAGGGATTGTGATGGTTACACGAGGGTCTACCCAGAGCTTTGTGCTGATGTCTGTACCTGCTATGAAGCTGAGCATGTCACTCAGAGGCTCCCTGAGATTCTGGAGCCATGATCTCCCACTCATCCTCTTGCAGGAGCTGGAAGCTGCCACTGCAGAAGAGTATCCCCTGGCCCTGTGGAAGTTCAGATGTGCTGCCACAACCCACAGGAGGTATACACGACTTCTACCTGAGCTCATCTTCCTTGGTAGTGAATACTGTGCAGCTGTCCCCAGCTGTCCCACCTGGTGAGCCCCTGAGCTGCTCTGGTCACACCTGCAGGGGAATAGTTCTCTCCTTTGGCCCTAATGAAGGACACCCCTTCAGGTAAAGATGAACATTCTCTATGACCATTTGCCTATAGGGCCTCAGGACCACCAATATGAGTGGGCTGCATGAGGAGAAGGCATTGCCTCCCAGGAACAGGACATTCATGGTGACCCCTCCATACTTGGGTCCCAGGGCCAGTACACCTCTAATGTCACCTGCTTTCTAGGGTGACTCAGTCTTCTCTCTCCCTGGTGGAAGTTGCATTCAGTACTGCACCAGTTCCTCTGATGTATCCATGGCAACATTCACACGGATTTCATAGAACATAAAGTGTTTGAGCTGGAAGGGCCCTCAGAGATCAGCTCCTCCTGCCCCCGCATTTCACAGAGTGGGGGAGCAGGCTCAGAGAGGGGATGCCACATGGCTAGGGTAACACAGCAAGCCATGAACATAGCCAGGTTTCTGCCCTTCTAACACTGTTCCCCACCCCACCCCAAACAGACAGCTGGGTTTTGCAAGACTGACTTCTGGGGATGTGCTCTGGGGACTTTGCTACCACACCACTTGCTGAAAGGCCTCAAGTTCAGCCTGACTCTCTGCTGCTCAGTCACAAAGCTGTCTGTCAGTGCCTGGTGGCAGGGACAGGGGTAGGTAGAATGAGGGTTGTCCTCAGGAAGCTCACAGGGAGAGCAGAGGCAGCATAGCCCCCAGGGAATCACAGAGAGCATCTAGGAAGCAAGAAGTAGGGGCAGAACCCAGGGAAGGAAAGCGTTGTAAAGCCCAGGGCTCTGCAGAGAACTTCCTGGCTGTGCTAGGAGATGGAGCCTGCCTCAAATGGCCTGCCTGAGGCCCAAGCTCCTTGGGTGGGCAGTGGGTAGTGGTGGTACTGGGCTTGGAAAATGGGGAACACAGAGAACGACTGTCTGGCTTGGAGGTGCTAGGAGATCACCATGGCTAAGGATTCATGGCACATGTCACCACAGAACAAGGGGGGTCAGACACCCAGAAGGACAAATCAGAAGGCACAGTGCAGTAACTGATAGCCATGGGCATCAGGGGAATAGCAAGAATGAGGGTCCAGGAAGAAGGCCTCAAGGAGACTGGACCAGATCTGGGGTGATTCAGTCCCCTTGGGAACATGGACACATGTTGACTGTCTTCTGTACAGCAGAGCCAGCCAGGTGCTACAACAGTTGAGGGCTGTAAGCAGCAGTCTCCTGCTCTGGCCTCTTCTCCTTTCAAAGCTTGAGGATCCCTGGGATCTGCAAATCCCCAGGCCCAGCCAAGGCCATCCCACACTCCTGACCTTTCCCACCAAACTGGTTCCTTCACCTGTGTTTGATACTAGCCTGGTCTAGTTTTTTATTGCTGTGTAACGAACATCCCCCAAACATCATGACATCCACTGAGGCTGGGGTGTCCACTCCTAGACTGGCTTCTTTGTGCATATGGCTGGCAAATCAGTTCTTCTCCACTGGGTGTTTTCACCTGGCTACTCGGGCTTTCTCCTAGCATGGCAGGCAGGTTCTAAGAACAACTATTCCAGGAAACAAGAAGCTGGGTATAGAATTACTTCTACTGTATCTATTGTTCAAAGAAACCACAGCTTTTGTCTAGATTCTTGGGCAAGGGACACAGACCCTTCCATCACTGGGAAGATACCAAGGTGTGAGTTTGCCATTTTTAATCTATCCTGGAGGCCCTGCCTCTGCTCCATGGATAGTGTTGTCCTTCCTTATTTCTAGGCCTCCAAATACTGTCTGTTCTGAAGTCCTTTCTGTCCCTAGTACCTCTCCCCTGGGCTACTGCAGTCTCAAATCAGTATTCCTGTAGCAGAGTGTTCTCTCTCTCTGTTGGTCTGCTCAGAAACCATACATGGGTCCCTACTTTTCTTAGAATAATTTCTAAGCTCTCAGGTATAACATTCAAATTTCCCATATAATCTGGCCTTTCCTACCTTACCTAAATTGGATTATTTCCCTTGATGGCCACCTAGTGGCACTCAGCCTGGGCATATTGACTGCCTCCAACTGGTAAGTTTCTCCATTTCCTCCCCTGTTGGACTCCTGTTCCACCTTGAAAGCCCAGTGAAAATCCCCCTCTCCTCCATAAAGCCTTGCTCTCATTATATAATCACACCAGTCTTGCTCTCATTGCATACTGACATTCATTCTGGCTTAAATCCTTCTCAGAAGTGATATGTTCTCCTGAAGTGAGGGCCATGTTTCTAAATCATATTTCTTTCATCAATTTAATAACTGCTTATCGAGGCCCAAAGCCAGCTGCCAGGGATATGGCAATGACCAAGACAAGCTGCTTCCAGTGCCCAGAGAGCTTACATTCCAGAGGGGAGAAACAGATGGCAAAAAGAGGAACCAAGAGACATAATGATCAAAGATTAGGAGGATTGCTGGGGAGCGAGAAAGTGAGGGAGCCCTGAGCCAGGCACCTAGAGCTCCCATTTTTCAAGAGAAAACAGAAAACTGGATTTTTATGTAAGAGTTTTAAAAGCAAGCCTGTCTTTTCTGCAGCTCAAAATTCTCCTCTATGGGCCTTCCACTTGCTCTAGTTCACCTACCTCCTTCTCACTTCCTGGTTGCCTGCCCCATCAATATTCCTCCACCCTCAGGATGCCCTACTTGCAGGCCCCACCCCCAGAGCGTTCAAATTCCTTGTGTTTCCCACGTGCTGGGCTTGCTCTGGGCAGCAGCTGATAGAAAGAGGTAGGATCCACTGCCTAGGACCCTGGAAGTCAGCAGGCAATGTTTTTTGAGGCCCCTAGCTGAGATCCTGGGCCAATCATCCTGTAGTTGGCCTTTTGGGAGATAGGACATCTAGAGTCTCCAGGGCCGCAACAACGGGAGCCCAATACTCACACCTTAGGCCAACTACATACACATCTGGGGACTGACCTGGAGGAGGTGGAGGGCCAAAGAAGGGAGATAGTAGTGCTGGGGATTTAGCTCAGTGGCACTGTGCCTGCCTTGCAAGCGTAAGGACCTGAGTTCAATCCCTGGTACTGGAAGCGGCGGGGGGGGGGGGGAACCAGGGACAGTTTATACTGTTTTTTTAAACAGTTTTTTTGTTTGTTTGCTTGTTTGTTTTTCAGACAGGGTCTCGCTATGTTGCTCAGGGTAGTCTTGAACTCACTATGGAGCCCAGGCTGGCCTCAAACTCTCAGTGATCCTCCTGCTTCAGCCTCCTGAGAGCTAGGATTATAGCTATGCACCACCATATCCAGCTAACAGGATAGTTTTAAAGTTGTCATGATAGCACTCAGCACTGGGCAGCTTTCCAGGCCTCTGAAGAAGCAGGCCATGCTAGGCCCTCTCGGGGAATTGCTACTGGACAGCATCCTTCTATTTGGGTCTTGCCAGTCCCAGAAGTAGCTAATTATTGGTGTTCTGAGTACTGACATCTCAGAGGGATAAGGTCTCTGAGGAATCTGGCATCCTAGTGACAGTTGTCACGTCTTAGGGTTCAGTTAAGCCATCCCTCCAGTTCCCAGAGGAGTACCAAGAAGCACCCCATCTTAGTGGCACCAGCCCTACACCCACTGCCCTCCAGCTCTGATGGCTTGAGCTCCTGAGACCTAGCTCTTGAGATCCAGAACATGTTGGATGAGGGTCCTGGGACAGAGTGCCAATCAGCCCAGGTAGGGAGGTGTCAGGGCCTGGAGATGGGTGTGTGGGGGTCCAGCTTGGGATTTGGAGAATCAGCACCAGCCTCCCTGAATCCAGAACCTGGAATGGAAAGGCCAAGGCATTGGTCACACCTGAGAGCAAGGCCTCCCATCTTCTGGATCCAAGGGCAGAGCCCCTTTGGAGGGGACCTTCCAGGGGTCTGGTGCTGGCTTCATTCCCCACTTCCTTTTCCCCCAGGGCCTCAGGCTTCTGCCAAGGGAGCTCTGCTATTCCTCTCCCTGTCCTGTCATTTATAACCAGCTGTCTGCTGAGCCCAGTGCTCCTGCACAGCCATCTTTATTTGTTTTGCATCAGAACTGGCGCTGCCTGGACCCCCCACTACCCCGGAGGGGATAGAGCAGGGAGGAGCAGTGGGCCAGGTGGCAAGTTTCCCTAGGTGAGAAGGGACAGAATCCCAGGGTGCCCGCCTATGCAGATCCTCTCCCGGCACCTTCATCTCAAGAGACCTCCCTTGTTCCAGGTCTGGTGACCCGTCCAGTGAGGGGGGTCACTGGGCTGGGCAGGAAGGAACGGGGTGGTGCACAGTGCACCGAGATGACATAGGATCCTGTGCTCCTTCACCCAGGAACACTGCCTCACATCAGAGTCCAAGTACCGAGGCGGTCGCAGAGCTGTGTCTCTGAGCCTGACTGCCCCACCAGACAGCGGCTGCGGAGCTGCTCAAGCCCGGGCCTTTCTCTGCCTCCAGACAGCACCAGGGCGATCTAATTTGCATGGTCCCTCCCCTCCCGATACGGCCATTGGCGGCGACAGAGGCGGGAGGTGGGGCCTGGGAAGCTGTTCGGCCTGTGGGGTGGCAGTAGCGGGGCGGGTGCGGGGTGTCAGGGATGCCGCCGCAGCCACCTCCTGGGTTCGGGTCCAGCTCAGGCTCAGCGGGCGCGAGGAAGTGGGTGGCCCGCGGGGCGACAGGCACAGAAGGAGCGCACTAAGCACCTGTCTGCCATGTCCAGAAAGAAGACCTCCAAGAGCAAGGCGGGCAGTGTGCCCGCTGCCTCCGCGCTGCCTTCCCCCAACGGGGCCCGGCCTGCGCGCCCCGGGACTGCGCGCTCTGGCCACGAGGCGCCGCCTAACGGGCCCCAGCAGCGCGGCCGGCCATCGCTTGGAGGGGGTGGTGACTTCTACGACGTCGCCTTCAAGGTGAGCCAGGCACCTTCCCCCCAGGCGCGTGCAGCAGGTGGTGTCGGTCTGAGCCAGGAGGGGCGGGAGCCTGAGAAGGGACGCAGGGCCCCGCAGACCTTTGCCGTGGACCTGGCCGAGGACACCCCGAAGCTGGCACAGCTGCAGTGTGCACCGCACGCACACACAGCTGTCAAGCTGTTTGGGGGTACTCAAGAGCTAGCTGGCCCTCCCTTCCTCCCCTTTCCCGGGAGAGCTACACAAGGGGTCTGGGACATCAGAACCCTGCAGGCGTTCCTCCCGGACCATCACCCCACCTGGGCACCGGATTCATCATTTCCCATATGCTGCCTCACCCAGGGCTGAGGGTCTCCTCTTTTTCTGGGAAGGAGGCTGGGAAGAGGTTTGCCAGTTGGATGGGGAGACTGAGGCCTCCCCCAGACCAAGGCAGAAGCTATGTGAATTTGGCAGGGGTAGGTAGGATCATCTTTGGATTTTAGAGCATTTGATAGCAGGCTAGGTGGGGGAGGGAGAGGGCTTGTCTGCCCCTTCTGTTCACAGACCTCCTGGTCCAGGCCTACCTCAAGGTGAAGATCTGACACTGGGCTGGGAAATCCCTCCTAAAAAGGATGCTGGGATTTGTATCCTTTTGGGGTTTGAAGAAGTCCCTGCAGGTCTCTTAGGTCTCAGCTCTCACCACCCTGAATCTATTCCCCATTGGTCCCCAAATACTACCTTCCCAGATCAACCTTGAGTTTTATTGGGGGGTGGGCAGCAGTGCTCACCCCCACTTATTGAGACAGGCCCTGTTGGGAGGGAGAGAAGGGACTGAGACTAACAGAGGGAGAACTGCTGTCTCCCCAGGCCATCTGAACCTGTAAGCCTGGAATGGCCCCCTCCTCTCCTGCCCCTCACCTGCATCCCCTTTCTGGCTTTGGCAGTTCAAGGCAGATCAAAAGCTTCCTCTAGGTGGGTCAGCATCCTAACCCCTTTGCACTGGCCTGATACTTCTGACCCTCCTGTCTGCCCTAGGTCATGTTGGTGGGAGACTCAGGTGTGGGGAAAACCTGCCTGCTTGTGCGCTTCAAGGATGGTGCTTTCCTGGCAGGCACCTTCATCTCTACTGTGGGCATTGACTTCCGGGTGAGAGTGGAGGCTGATATCCTAAGCTCTGACCAGTTCCCCCTCATGAGCTCACGGAGTCCTCCCAGTACCCTTGGGCAGCTGGTTCTCCATCTTCCCTGTGGTAGCCACAGTTCTCAGGAGGTAGAGCTCTTAGTGGGGGTGGTTGCCTAGGCATGGGACACCTTAGCCACCAAGCTGACTCCTGAGATCTCCCAATATCTGAGGTGGTGGTTGGATCCACCTGACACAGACTTCTGTGCCAGGGGCTGGAACTACCCTGGGGGTATATATCCAGGGTACTGGCAGTCAGAGGGAACTCAAGGTCCGTGTTCACTCTAGCCAGTCACTTCCTCACTGCACAGAGGTGGCCCAAGGCTGAGAGGTGCCAGGAACCTGCCCAGGTCCTACAAGCCAGGTGGCTGTGGTGCAGCCTGGGAGAGGGTGTTTCTAGGCCTTGCTTGGGGGAGGGGTTCCTGCCTTTGAGTGTAGAGACCCCCAGTACCCCAAGCAGGTGTCTGTGAGGCTTTAATATCAGAGCCCCTACCTCTGGCCACTGGTCTAAATCTCATGTGCTAAGGTGCTGGTGTGTTCTTGGCAAATCCTGAATTTGCATTTTTCTCACCCTTTAATTAGATCCAGTTAGCAGGAGGATGGGAGGGCCATTCTGGGGACAGTAAAGAGGGCTTCTTCTTGTTTGGGGAGCTGTTCTCTACCCACATTGGGAGTTCCAGGTCTGCTGAAGCCCTCTGGAATGAAGGGCTGAGGTGCCAGAAAAAGTCTGGGGACACATGACCCTTTGCCTGTCTAGGCCCTTCTTTCCCTTGGCCCTGGGGCAGGTGATAAGGCTGATTGGTTTGTGCCCCAATTCAGGGTGCCAGAGAAGGTAGGGTTTTCTCCCTAGCCTGGCAGATGGCTGAGTCTGGTTCCTGGAGACCCAGAAGCACCCTTACAGCAGGAGCTTGGGAGGAGATAGTGGCTGCCCAGCTGCCCAGGGCTGAAACCTGTGGTTAGCCCTCCCCCTGCCTGAGGGGAGAGCCCACCTGGGGAGCACTGCCAGCCCCAAATACAAGTACCTATTATATACCAGGCACAGTTCTGGGCTCTGAGGTTTCAGAGTTGGGCCAGACAGGCAAGAGTGAGCCCTTGTTCCAGTGAGAAAACTTTTTAAATGGGGGGGGGGTTCCTTTCTCTAGGCAGGACAGTTCTCAATGCACACAATAGCTCATTAGAGGTGTTATCTATGATGGAACTGGTACCGTCTCCATTTGTAGAGAAGGAAACCAAGGCAGTGTTAGTAACAACTCTTGGGCAATACCAAGCATGATTTCACTGTGGGCCAGGGGTGCAGCTCAGTGGATGAATACTTGCCTAGCAGGCCAGAGGCCTTGGCTTTAATCTCCAGCACCAGGAGAAAAAAAAAAAAGATACAGTGGCTCTAACCAGGACACCCCCCCAGCCCATGAGATGTCCATCCTTAGGGAGCAGGGAAGAGGCTGACTTGGGAAGTGGGTACATGGAAATGCAAGCCTATGCAGAAGCCAGGTAAAGGTGGCAGCCAGGTATGGGCTAAAAGCCAAGGGGAAAAAAGCAATGGCACTTCACTTGGGGTACAGTGACAAGGGGCTTTTCAGGGCAGTGGAACTGTTAGCAGAGGGAGAAAAACCTGACTCCAGGGTAGGTGTAGTGGTGTACACCTGTAGTCTCAGCACTAAAAAGAAAAAAAATCTTCAAGCCCAATATCAAAGCAGCCATCTGCACAAAAGGGGCCTGGACAGCTTCTGTGGATAGAGCCATCTGGAGATGCTCCCCCAGGGTGGGTGGGGAAGAACCGTGCAGACCCTGGGTGCACCTGGGTTTAAAGGGAAGCATAACATGTAGAGTTATCTGGTCCCAGCAGGAAGAGAACCTGGAAGTGAACAATTCTCAAGAATGACTTAAGGATTCAGCCAAGGGACCCTCATTCTCCCAGTCTGTGGACAGGGGCTCAGCTCTGGCTTGCAGTCCTCTCACCCCACCCTTTGGAGCCCCCAAGGATAGGGTTATGGGTACTCACTGGAGCTGGCTGGTTCTATTTCAGAACAAAGTTCTGGACGTGGATGGGATGAAGGTGAAGCTGCAGGTAAGGTGACTAGGGGAAGAGCAAGTTGGGGGCAGGGGATACCAGGGAGGGGCTGGACAGCATAACCAGTGCACGTTGTTACAGATATGGGACACAGCTGGCCAGGAGCGGTTCCGCAGTGTCACCCATGCCTACTACCGGGATGCACATGGTGAGCCCATAGACATAGGGACTATTTCCCTTGGGAGTTAAGGTTTTGATTTGACCAAAAGGGTGTGGGTAACTAGGAATTACTGCCCTCTACCCTCAGCACTGCTGCTTCTCTATGATGTCACCAACAAGGCCTCCTTTGACAACATTCAGGTCAGTCACTTCTTTCCTGGTGGAGGTAATGGGTCATCATGGCCCAGATGGCACCAGGCCCAAGAGTTCTGAGGACTCTGCTGACAGGAGGGGGACTGGGGGGCTCCTCTGGGCTTGAGGTGGCCAGAGTTGAGTATGAACTAAAATTTGGGCTGGATATTTTCCAGCCCCCTCTTGGATAAGGCGGGCACCTCTGCCCAGAATAGGGAACATTTTTTGGAACTCGGCATTGTTAGGTGTGACCTGGAGGGGCTAGGTTCTGAGGGCAAAATATGCAGGGAGTACCAGCTTCCACCTGGTCCTAGCTCTCCCCACACAGGCCTGGCTGACTGAGATCCAGGAATATGCCCAGGACGACGTGGTTCTCATGCTGCTGGGGAACAAGGTGGGCAGGTCATTTTGCTCTCTCCAGCCTGGCCCCACAAAGCAAAGCAGGTGAGGGGAGTGGGTAGGCAAAGCATGGGCCAGCTGTTACCAAAACCCTGTGCCTGGGCCAGGTGGACTCTGCCCAGGAACGTGTGGTGAAGAGGGAGGATGGAGAGAAGCTTGCCAAGGTGAGTCATGGCAGGGTGGGTGGCAAGGAGGGTACCCTGAGGCTGTGGAGCCTGGGCTATCCCCACCAGGCCACCACCCAGTTGGCAACAGCTGTTTACAGGAGTACGGACTGCCCTACATGGAGACCAGTGCCAAGACAGGCCTCAACGTAGACTTGGCCTTCACTGCCATAGCAAAGTAAGTCCAGGGAGTGAACAGAAATACTCCTTATTGGTGGTTCAGGATACTGTCTTGTTTCATCAACACTCCTGCTCTGCAGGGAGTTGAAACAGCGTACCATGAAGGCGCCCAGCGAACCTCACTTCCGGCTGCATGACTATGTCAAGCAGGAAGGTCGAGGGGCCTCCTGCTGCCAATCCTGAACCAGACTAAATTCAGTTCTACTCTGAAGGGAGGGGCTCAGCTCCAGAAGACTGGACAGAAGGTCTACAGCCAGCAGCTACCAAGGACTCCTGCATCAAGCCTTGCCCCTCCTTTGTCCCAACAGCAATCTCAAACCTCCATTCCCAAAAAGCAAAGGTCTTCAGGCCCAAAGAGAGCTTCTTGGAAATCTGCAGAATATGCCATGACGCTCTGCTGCCCCCTCCTGGGCACTCCTAGAGGGCCAGGCCACAGGCCAACACGTGTACAGTGCCTAACCCCTTAGAAAAGCCATGTTTTTACCACACACTGCTCAGGCAGGACTCCTGCCTGGGACAGAGCTTCTCTGCTATTCTTATTATCCTTCTGTGTGCCCCAAGGACCAGCCAAAGCTGGCAAGGGCACCGATGTGGCAAGCCATTGTTTAGGCCAGGCAACAGCTGAGACGAGGTTGCCAAGCCGTCTTCATGTTGTATTAGTAGAGTGACTGAACCAGTCTTTTGAATGCAAGTTGTTTTTTTTCTTTCTTTTTTTTTATTTTGAGACAGGGTTTTGCTATGTAGTCCAGGCTGGCCTCGAAGTCATGATGATCCTCCGGCCTCAGCCTCCGAAGTGCTGAGATTACAGCCGTGCACCACCAAACCCAGCCTTTTTCAATTCTAGTGAATAAAGGTGTACTTTCTGGACTTTCTGTCTCATCTGTTGAAAGAAAGCAACTTCTAGACCAGACTCGTTTAGGGAACTTTTGAGGCCCAAACCTCACCACAAGGTGGGTGAAGTTCCTTTGTAACCCATGGCTTTGTCAAATTTTAAAACTCTTTATAGAGGCACGTGGGAACCTTGCTGATTAGTGCCAACTTTACTCCATAAGACTCAACAGTTAGGGCCGGGAATGCAGCTCAGCTGTGCAGAATCTGCCTGGCAAGCTAGTTCCTGGTACAAAGGGAAAAAAAAGTTCAAGGCTGGGGATTTAGCTCAGTGGTTTCGCCGCCTGGTGCGCAAGCACAAGGACCGAAGTTCAATCCCCAGTACCAAAAAAAAAAAAGTTCAGGACTCACCCTGAGGGCTGGAGATTTAGCTCAGTGGCACCATGCCTGCCTCGCCAAGTGCAAGGTCCCGAGTTAAATCTCTGGTACTGGAGCCAAGAAAAAGACCCGGCCTGGGGCAAGGGCATAAAAAACGATCTTTTGTGGCCTTTCAAGTAAAAATGGGTAAGGCAAGCCCAAGAGTTGTGGTTACTAATAATGAACTTCATTTCATGTTGATCTCCTTTCCGTTTGCCTAGGGATGAGCTTGTCCTCTTTAGAATGCTAACAGGGTAGAAAATAATGATGTTGGAGAGACTGAAGATTCACTACCTTTGCTTTATTGGTAAACAGTTCAGTTAACAGATAGGAATGCCCACCTTACCTTACCATTCCCGCCTGCCCACTGGACCTCTGGATTTTGGTTAAGTTTAACGTCTACAGCCGGCTCACCACGACCCTGAAAGTTAACCAGAGTTGGAGATAGAGAGAAACTGGTCTCCTCCAATATTGGCTCATCCCAAACCCTCCCCGTCAAGGGGGCTCACCCAAGCCTCAGTCTCGCAGTATAATCAGACTGCACATGCAGTTCTCATACGAGGTGTCAGAACTTAGGGTAATTCATCACAGGCTTGGAGATGCATCCAGGAAACTAGGCCTGGGTCAGTCTTACCTGCTGGAGGTCTGGAGGTTCAAGATACGCTGGAACGACAAAGGCTAAGAAGGAGCCAGGCCCAGGCAGCATCCAGGGCATGCTAGCCTGCGGTTTCGGGAGAACGCCTAAGATTCCAATAGGCGTACAGCTTCTTCCCGCACTGTGGCACACTCACTGCACAAAAGGAACACCCTGACCTCGTACTCTACCCAAAAGGAAGATGAAGGCCCAGGGTTCAAGCTTATATAGAAATTGCTCTACTTCTATGATTGGGCAGTTCTGGCGGAAGTGCCCGCCTTTCCTCGCCACTGATACGCTCTGCTCTCTATCCGGGCGGAGACCCGAAACTACTCCTTTCTGAGGACTCCATTGAGCGTAACTGTGAGTGGCGGTGCATAAAGCCAATCAGACTCCGATCTGCAACATAGAGTGATTCTGAACCCTCCAACCCGCCCTGCTGCTCCTGGGCCGCCATAAATCGTAGTTTCCGAAGCGCTGTACCTGAGGCTGCCATCTAGGTCACTAGAAACGACGAACTACACGTCCCGGCGGGCTCAGCGCCCGACCGCTTCCGGGTTGCGCGTCTCTTCCCTTTCTCGGCCAGCGGTAGTGGGGGCACGATGAAGCTAGCGGGTGGTGCTGCCGCTCCCGGTCAGCGGGCGGGTGAGTGTCCGCGTGGCGCGCCCGCTCGGCAGCTCGCGCCTCTGGGCCGCGCAGGGGGTGGGAGCAGGCGCATCCCGAGCCTGGCTTGGGGGTGCGGGGTCGAGACAGTCCCGGATCTCCACGTCCTACCTCTCAGTTTGTCCACCAGTCGCTCCTTTGCTTCATTCTCTTTCCTCCTGCATTTATTGAGCGCCGTCTCGGTGCCAGGCACTGTTCTAAGCGCCGGAGAGACTATGGAGAACGCGGACCCAGTTTCATAAGCTTATCTGATGCATGGTCCCCCAACTTGCGTTGACAGTTCGGGCTTGATTGTTCTTTGCTGCGAGGGGCTGTCCTTTGCATTGTAGAATGTTGAGCATCCTCCCTGGCTTCTCACTGGAAGCCAGTACCACCCCCCCAACCCCGTTGTGACAACTCTGTCAGAAGACATTATCAAATGTCTCCTGCACAGTCTCTGGTCTAGAGAGAGAAGGGAGAGACTGACAATAGACAAAATCATGAGGAGTTATGACAGGTATTATGAAAGAGCCTGCTGGGAAAGTGAGTACTGGGGGGCTCCTGGCTTGGTGGAGAACCCTACAGTTAGGCAAAGACTTGACTTGACAGAACCAACGAGTCATGGGAACATTGCTGGAAGAGATTCCAGGCAGGAGCCAGGAGAAAGGGATTACCGCACCCCAGTGAACACTGGTGAGGTGGTGGAGAGCTGAGATTGAGGAGGCCAGACAACTCCACAGGGTACAGGCCAGGGATTGTATTGGGCTTACAACCAGGCTGTAGAGGACTTGATGCACAGAAGATAGATGAGGTCTAAGTCTGGAGCCTTCTGGTTGTGTGAGGTGGGTGGATTTGGGGGTTCAGTGGAGACACAAGAGGCTGTCTGAGGTAGGCCAAAGTGGTCAGCTGAGGCTGAGGCCCAGGGCTCTGGGGTTCCACCCTATTTTGTTGCCTCACTTAGGAGCTCCATCTGAGCTAGGCATGGTGCTACATGACTCTAATACCAGCACTTAGGAGGCTGAGGCAGGAGGATCACCTTGAGTTGGAGGACAGCCTGGGCAATATTAGTGAGTTCAAGACCAGACTGAACTAGTTAGCAAGACCCTGTCACAAAAAACCAAAACCACAAAAAACAACAAAAAAGGAGCTCCATCTGCCTGGTCCGTCTGCACCTCTATCTTACCACCTCTCACCCCCCTCCCCATGTACACTTAGGCCTTCTCTCTTCTGGGCTAACCCCTGGTCTTCAACAGGTGTATGGTTCCTTCTTCCTCATTCCTTCTCTGGGTCTCTCCCTTCCCAGACCCCTTTCCTGTGTGGCAGGCACAGCCTCCTTTTTCCTTTCTGGGCATTCACAATTCTCAGTGGAATCTTTAGTCTCTATGTCCTGAGGTTCCTGGATCTATTCACTACAGTCACTCCAGGAAGCCAGAACTTCATTCTGAAGGGAATCAGGGATATATGCAGCCTGGCTGAGGTGACAGGCCAGGAAGGTGTGGCCAGGAGTGGCAACCCAACCTGAAAGGTTGCTTGAAGTTACTTCCTGTGGCTTCAAGGATTAAATGGAAAAGATCAGGGTCTAAAGTACCCATGGAGAAGTACCTTTGACAGATGGAATGGAGATTAGCGGGGTCTCCTCTCTGTCTCCCAACCTTGGCTCTTAGCTCCTTGAGAGTGAGACTCATATTTAGCTCAGCATGTCCCCAATCTCTAGTACCCAGTGGCATGAACCTTGGCCTGCACCTGGATAAAGGAATGCCCAGTGTGGGAAATGGGAAGAAGGTGTTGCTAAAGGACCTACACTGGTCAGGAGGTACAGGCAGCCCCAACTCTGTAATTCAGTCACTTCCTGCCTTGGCTTGACAAAGGTTGGCTCAAGGGCAACAGTGAGACTCCTGGGTTTGGCTGGTAGTGGTGCAGATACCAGAAGGAACAGAGTTTGAGTTAGCCATGGTGTGACTTCCTATTGGTCAGGTGCATAGGCCAGCCTCTCAGCCTCTCTCAGCCACCACTTTGAGCTTTTTTGTTTTGTTTCTTTTGAGACAGGGTCTCACTCTGTAATTCATGTTGGCCATGGACTCACTATGTAACCCAGCCTGGCCTCGAATTCCTGGCAATCCTCCTGCCTCAGCTTCCTGAGTGCTGGGATTACCAGTGTGTGCCACCACACTTAGCTCCACTTTGAGCTTAGTGCAGAGCTATTAGAAAAGCTGTCACCATTTATCACATGGCACCTCTCACATCTTCCAGATTTGTGTCCATCTCTGTTTTGTTTTATGGTCAGAAATCCAAGACAGTTGAGGGCAAGCAATTCACCCAGCCACGTATCTGTTTAAGTGGAGAAGATGGGATTTGAATGTAGGTCTGTCTAAGTCTGGGGCCTGTGGCCTTGACCACTCTGTCACACTGTGTCTGTGATGGATACTTCAAAGGGTTCATAAGAGTGTGTGTGTACAGTGCCAGCAAGTGCCTACAGCTGTTGGCTGAATATATCTTGCTCTGAACCAGGGTCCCCACAGGCCTGGTCTTACTAGTAGGTGAGCACCTTGTATTTTATCAGCCTTCTGGAGAAGGACCCAGCAATCCTTCACCCTTCAACAGATGCCTCCTGTGTCTGGAGAATGTCAGTCCCAGGGCAGAGAAATGTGGCTCTTCCTTGGGGGAGTGAGCTGCCAGGTGGGGGCAGGTGAAGAAGAACAACCACTGGAGGCTAGTGTTGCTGTGGCGGCTGGTGCTAGGAAGCCCCAGACTGAATGAGACTGCAGTCTGGAAGCTGGGAAATGGAAATGAACCAATCCTGAGGGAGGGTTCCAGGGTGGAAGGGGCAGCCTTGCAGAACCCAAGATTGAGGGTTAAGGGACTCTGTGAGTGCCAGAAAGAAATAGTGGTTGGGGCTGGGGATTTAGCTCAGTGGTTCCAACACCTGCCTCGAAAGCTCAAGGTCCCAAGTTCGAACCCTGGTACCAAAAAAAAAGAATTAAGAAATAGTGGTCGGGGCCAGGGATGTGGCTCAGTGACATTACACCTGCCTGGCAAACACAAGGTCCTGAGTTCAATCCCTGGTGGTAGTAGTGGTGGGGATGGTGGTGCATAATGAGAGGTGGGGTGGCATGGGGCCCTATGCATTCCCAGAACTGCTCCAGGGCATTTATGCTGCTTCCTAGCTTCTTTTGGACAGTAAGAAGGAGAAAATGAAGGCATGCAGAAAGCAGTGAGAAACCTGCTTGAGGGGTCCTGAAAGTATAGACTGGGCCTGGGCGGGGCTAAGCACTTGATTCTCGTCTCGGGTGAAGGTCCAAAATATGTTCCCAGAAGTTTGAGACTGCTTTGATTTATTTGAGATAGCTAGGCACATGCTTCCTAGTTCTGCCCCCTCTAACTGGGTGTTGGAAGAGGAAAAACAAATGCCATCTCCTCCCATGCCCCAGAATTTGCTTTCTGCCCACTCTGGATAAGATAAGAAATCTGGAAAGGGGAGGACAGGGACATGAGGCCAGCACCAAGGGCAGTGAAATGCATTCCTGCAAGGCAGTGGGGTTGAGTGGGAGGGACTCTTTCCCTCCAGTAGAGGCAGCCATGGATGCTGGAGAGACTCAGCCTGGGCAGGCAGGGTGTGCGGTGCAAGAAGGAAGCCAAGCTGGGTGTGGTGGCGCACACCTGTGATCCCAGCACTTGGGAGGCCCAGGTAAAAGGATCACTGAGTTGGAGGCCAGCCTGGGCTGCATAGCAAGTTCAAGACCAGCCCAAACCACATAGCGAGACCCAGTCTCCAAAACAAAACAAACAGCCAGGGCGTGGTCTTACATGGAGGTTGAGGAAGGAGGATTGCCACCAGTTTGCCAGTTCGAGGCCAGCCTGGGCTACACAATGAGTTCAAGGCTAGCCTGGGATATATAGCAAGACCCTATCTCAAAAAAGGAAGGGAGAACCAGTTAAGGGGCCTCTGGAGAGTTGGGGTAGTGGGTGTAGAGAGCAGGCAAGAAAGGTGAGGTAAGGGCAGTGGTTGGGCTAGGGTGCTAGGTGGCAGGAAAGGCTGACCAGTCCTCTACCCAGGATCTGCAGAGCTTCTAAGAGGTTCCTTAGGACCAAGGGAAGCAGAGGACAGGGGCATTCCAGGCCACAACCCCTCCCGGTGTCACACTGGCTGGCTGGGATGGAAAAGATATGCTAAAGGGACATCAGGGAAACAGCCGGGGGAAGTACATGTGGCTTTGCTATGGTAACCAGGCCTGTTTCTATAGGACTTGGCAGCTAGACCTGCGCTTGGGCCAGAGGGTCAAGACAGGGCTGAGCTAGAAGCTGGACCATCTACAAGTCCCCAAGGGTGGCTCCATGATATTGAGACCTGTGCTTAGAGCTCTGGCTACAGTCCAGCCAGTTGGCCACCCATAGCTCTGATGGGGCTGAGGCCTCTTGAGTCATCCCAGGCTCTTCCCAGGGTAGTCACAGGCCTAATGGGATACCTGGGGTGAGTATGCCCCCTTAAGGGCCCAACATTACTCTTCAAGGGATGTCTGCCCACATGCTACCTGCAAGTAGCTATTTGGTTCTAGCAGGGACTTGGATCTGC